TGTTTCATCGATGCTACACTGAGCCCTGGAGGCTGGCTTGTCTCCTCCACATGACCCTTCTGTAAAGGGATGTCCAGTTGCCTACATATGGGCTTTGGGTCCCCAAACTGCACTACCCCTCATTCACAATGATTTGATTTTTTGTTCTTTGATGCCTGATATCTGATCCCTTTGACACCTCATGATCACACAGGCTGGTGTGCTTCTTCCATGTGGGCTTTGTTGCTTCTCAGCTAGATGGTTACTTGTTTACCTTCAAGCCTTTAAGACCCCAGACATTATATCTTTTGATAGCCGGGCACCATCAGCTTTCTTCAACACATTTGCTTATGCACCCGCTTTGTCTTCAGCGATTGTGTCAGGAAGGTGAGCATCATGGAGCAGCACTTTTCTTTATTCAACATACACAGCTCCCAGCCACACACAACTCACCACAGTATGACAAACTGACAGACAGATGCTAGGAATATAAATATAGCATTCATTTTAATTTCTTATTTGTACATTATTTGTTCACATCTTCTATTTTTCCTTTTAAGTGTACATCTTTTCATATCTTGATAAAAAACCACTCTGCCACATGCTCATATTGAAATGTTCACAGCTTGACTTAGAACATGTTTGATGTTTTAAGACAGTTGTTCTCAACCTTCCTGATGCCGCGACCCTTTCATATAGTTCCTCATGTTGTGGTGACCCCCCACCCATAAAATGATTTTTGTTGCTACTTCATAATTGTAATTTTGCTACTGCTATGAATCATGTGACCCCTGTGAAAGGGTCATTTGACCTCCAAAGGGATCGTGACCCACAGATTGAGAACCGCTGTTTTAAGGGATGTAAGTTTTTACTTTTACATAAATGAATCTGTCAATATTTTCTTTTTTAATTTCTGCCTTTGATGTCATGTTTCAAAGTAGCTTTCTCGGTTCTACATTTATATGCGTGTTGATCAGTATTTTTATTTAAGGCCTTCATACCTAAGTGCCGTGAGTAAGGACTCTAAACTTCATTTTTTCTTCAGTGATTATCCAGTAGTCTCAACAATAATTGTATTCAATAGCTATCCTTTTTTTATCAGAATGTTAAAGATGTTGATTTTAAAATAAATTCTGAGATTGCCTTGAATTCTCAGCATTTAAAATGAACTAGTTTTTGAAAGAAAATGTGTCTAAAGACAAGCAATTTTCTTTTTAATTTCAATGATCACAGACTCTGTGGTTTCACATACACTCTTTCAGGCAGAAGACCGTTAACCCAGAGAAATAGCCACAGCTGCAGAATAAATAAGTAACCACACCACAGCTAAAATAAAGCTATGTTTTCCAGAAACAAAATATCAAGATCTTTAGCAACACCAAAGAAAGAAAGAAGAAAAAAAACACAAAAACCCCACATCCTTTTTGACTCATTATATATTAGTAATGTCAATACCTGAAACTATATTGTACCTGTATGTGGACAACAGGAGCCATGACAATTCCCTCTGCTACTGTATTTCTCCTTCTGATTCCTGGAGGTAAGACCGATTTCTGAATGCTCTCAGTTTGCTAATGGTAAAGTGGAGTTCTATGCTAGTTTAATTAATATTTAGCTTTGTATAAAAAGGAAAAATTCATTACTTCATTTCCAATCATTTTTAATGTCACTATTTGATTTTGCTATCTAAAAGGCAGATTGACTTCTTAAGAAGAAAATAGAATCTTCATGCCTATAGTGAAAATATGAAAGTATTAACTATATCTAGTGGCTCATAAATTCAGGCCAGATCTACAGAGCAGAACCTTTAAGTGAAAAACTGGAAAAGCCATTAAATCATGGGTGAATAGTTTTATTAGCAGGATCTCCCCCTATCACTCCTACAAATGAATAGTTTTAGCTGGTCAATCCCTAAGCGTTTGGTTTGGGAATCTGTTACTGCTGTAGCGGTTTGGTTTTTTTCCTTTAATTTTTAATGTTACTTAACCATCATGTATTCCAAATAATGATCTCACCTACTTTATCTTGACTGTGTGATCCTGGGTTAAGTCTTTCATAATTTTGTTTCTTGAGCTTTGAGGGAAATTTTTTTTTAATTGTCTGATTAATATTGTCTGACACTTCCTATCTCCCAGTGATAGGAGATAGATGTTATGTTTAAAGGAACTTTGGTTGCTTAAAGAGGAAACCAACACAAAGCTCACTGCTATACAGTCGACGCAGACTCATAGTGACCCTATAGGACAGGGTAGAACTGCCCCTGTGAGTTTCTGAGACTGTAGCTCTTCTTGGAAGTAGAAAGACCCATCTTTCTCCCAAGGAACAGCTGGTGGTTTGAAAAAGTTGCCTTTTGGGGTTGCAGCCCAATGTGTAACCCTACGCCAGCATGGTTCCTTATAAAAGAGGAAAAGCACTTCTTCAATTGAAGATGTTATCATCCAAAGGGATTGTGGGGAGTTGTAGAAGTTAGCAAAATAAGTCTAACTTAAACGACTAAAGCAATAGTAGCAGGTTGAGTTGAGGCTGTTAAAAAAGAAAACATTGTGAAGTGTCTCCAAAATTTAAAGCTAGAAATACTATATAACCTAAAAATACCACCTTTGGTATATGCCCAAAAGAATTGAAAGTGGAATTATAAACGGACACTTGAACATAAATGTCCACTGAAACATTATTCACAATAGTCGAAGGCAGAAACAGCCCAAGATTCCACCAACAGATGAATGAATAAACAAAATGAGGTATATGCCTACAGCACACATCAAAAGAAAGAAAGAGAATTAAATGAGGTTCTGAAACATGCTTCAACATAGAAGAACCTCAAAAACTGAGTAAATTTGAAAACTAAGGGACAAATATTTTATGATCTCATTGATATGAAATATCGAGAGTAGGTAAATGCATGGACACAGAAAGATTAGCGGCCACCATGGACTTGGGAGATGGGGAGAGGAGTTATTGAAACACGTTTGGAAATGACTGGTGATAACAGTGGTACAGTGTGGTTAGTGTTGCTGACTTACACACTTAAAAATGATTAAAACGAAGTTTGTTACATGTATTTTAATACAATGATAAAAAAGTATTTATCTAGTCTTAAAAGTCATTTTACGGGCAGTTGTCATTTTTAAAGAGTAGCTCTAAGGTCCAGTCTGGATTTCAACAGCTTTCAAACACAATGACTTGTTCAGCTGAGCTAGGTGCTGCTGCTGGCAAGCTGCTTCTTTCTCATCATCCCCAACCTCACAGCCTAAAGCTGTGCATCTTTCCCAAAGCTGAGGTCTCTCCTCACCCCAACCGGTGGAAAACTGGCATCTTTCCAGCCCCTTCTGGGGGCGGGGAATAAAAAGACGCCTCAGCCTCCCTGCCAGCAGTTTCTCTCTCCTCCTCCAGCTCCTCATCCACGCCTTCTCAAGGCACATACACACTGCCTAACATTGTGTCCCATTGTGTATCTGCCCCACAGCTTGTTCCTTGTATTTCTCTACTAATACTAATTCCTATGAGGGCAACAACTGTGTCTTATTCATCCTTATGCTTATTCTTAACAGTATTGGTGTGATTTTAAGCTGTTGAGTTCATTCTGATTCACATCAACCCTATAAGGCAGAATAGGACTGCCCCTATAGGTTTCTAAGACTATATAAATCTCCACTGAGCAGAAAGCCTCATCTTTCTCCATCCACAGCTGGTGGTTTCGAACTGCTGGCCTTGCTGTTAGCAGCCCAGCGGGTATGCCTTTAGGGTGCCTGAAACACTGTAAGTTGTCTCGATATTGCAGGGATCAGAAGATTACTGCAGAAAAGGCACCGGGTCTGCCTCTTATCTCCCCCTGACCCACGAAGTATATGTCTGTGCACTTGCGACGAATCTGTTCACCTTATGGAAACTTCCTCAGGGGAAACACAGGGAGTCTAGGACAGGTGAACACCTCAGGACCAGGGGTGACAGTGGCCATACCAGGAGGGAAGCAGGGAGTAGAAAGGGGGAATTGATCTCAGGGATCTACATATAACCTCCTCTCTGGGGGATGGGCAGCAGAAGGGTGGGTGAAGGGAGACGCCGGGCAGTGTAAGATAAGATATAATAATAATTTATAAGTTATTAAAGGTTCATGGGGGAGGGGGGAACGGAAGGGAGGGGGATGGGGGAAAAGGAAAATGAGCTGATTCCGGGAACCCAAGAGGAAAGCGAATTTTGGGAATGATGAGGGCAACAAATGTATAGGTGTGGTTTACACAATTGATCTATGTGTTGTGATGAATCGTATGAGCCCCAATAAAATGATTAAATTTTTTAAAAAGCAGGGTTTCACTAACGATCGCCTTTCTAGCTTTTTCAGAGGAAATCATAAGAGGGCATAATGTGAAACCTCATTCAAGACCCTTCATGGCTCTGCTCCAAGGGCAGACCAGGTGTGCTGGAGCTTTGATCAAAGACAACTGGGTGCTGACAGCGGCGCACTGCAATCTGTAAGTGGCCGGCCCTCCTTGGTGTCTCGCGACAGACTGGGGAGGTGAAAAGAGCTCCCAAACCCAAAACTAAACTTAGGAAGGGGGTGGAGAAGAGCACGGGCAGTTCGATTCAAGGCTGGGTTCTACTATAATACATAAAGGCCAAAAACGCCCAACCAAATCACTGCCATAGATTTGGTGTTGACTCATAGTGACCCCCGGCGGGTTTCCGCCACTCTAGCTGTTCACAGGAGTAGAAAGCCCAATCACTCTTTCACATAAAAACCAGATCCTACAAAAAGAGACCCCTTTCCCCACACACATTTTATTCAATTGTTTTCACTAAAAGTAGCAACATTATTAGCTTTTGAATGATAGCACTCCTAATTTCAACAACCCCACACAAGACATACCTTGGTAGGCTTTGTTCCGGCCCCTTTTCACAAGGACAGTTTCCATGGTTCATGGAATTTGCATTGCATCTGCTAGGATTACAATGAAGGCAGTGGGGGTGGGATGGTGGGGGAGGGGCATGGGGAGGGAGGGGGTTGCTGAAATCTTTCTTAAAGGAATCAGCCAAAATGCTCCTTGGAAGTGAGAATGGTGAGACTTCATCTCACATTCCTTTGGACACATTATCAGGAGAGGCCAGTTCCTGGAGAACAGCATGCTCGAAAAAGCAGAGGGTCAGCAAAAAAGAGAACTGTCCTCACTGAGCCAGGTTGACACAGACATGCACTGCAACAATGAGCCCAAACAGGACTGGGGGGTGGGGTGGGGAACGCAGCACCAAGCTGCCCATTGTACATAGGGTCGCTATGAATAGGGTGGACTCTGTAGCACCTAACAAAACCCAGGATCTCAACTGTTTTTCTTACCCCAAAAAGGAGGTTACCTCTTGTTGCCACCTATAAGATTGAACCATAGGAAATTCTGGATATTTAATAGTTTTTAAAAAGTAAGATCCTAGAGCTAATGATTTTCCTAACCATGATTGATTTAAAAGGCAAGAAAGTGGCTATCAAATGCATATGCCTCTATTCTCTTCATGAATAAAATTGTGGGTAACTAATAATGTTATATTCTGATTTACTTCAGCATAAGTTTCACAAGCAGGCTGAAAATTAGTTTCTCATGGAGTTCAAACAGAGTAATGTCATATTGTTTTGTTCATGAAGAAGGTGCCAGCACAATTGACACTGGATGTGAAGTCAATGTGCTTGATGCACAGGTGTGCCTGGTGCAAAGTCTACTAAGTAAGTCAGGAAGTGCTTTTGTCCACCTTTTCCACACTAACTTTCAGTGAGCTCACACACCAAATTCACGATTAGTCCTAGTTTGTTTACTGTGTATAGGGGACACACACACACACACAGGTGTTTATTTTGAAACTGCTGTAAGGTTTTCCTATAAAATCAAAGTTCATCTTTTTCAATCCAGCCTATAAAAATGTAACTGTGGTCTACTGTCCTTATCTTTGAAAACAAGGTGCAGAAAATGTGCTTCTTCTACTCTGCTGCTTGAGTTAAAGCTCTTCTGTTAGAGGTCAACAACATAGAAAGCCATGATGAAAGAGTTTTATTCCACAAATCCAAAATGGGGGTGGGGGGGGGGAAGCAGCTCTCCCTCCCATGCTCCTACCCCAATGCACAGCCTGACAGAGAGCACTCGAATCCTGGTCACTCTCTTTGGGCAGCACCCAACCATTCCTCTCCACACCTCCAATGCTTCATTGCCCTTTCCTGTGTCAAAAGGCCTGGGATTGCCTACTAGTTCCTTCTCCTGAAATAGATACCGTGAAACTAAACAATCTGTGATAGCAAACATATTGGGAGTTTTATGCAAAAGGTGCTGAAGCACCAAAGAGAAAAGTCCCACAAGACACTCATGAACTAGGCCCATGGTTTTATTTCATTAATTCTCTTATATAAATTCTATATTGTTGCTATTTTCAGGAAGAAAGCTCAAGTTATTCTTGGGGCCCATTCTGCAACCAAGAAAGAAAGTCAAAAGCAAATATTTTCCATTAAAAATAATATTGTCTATCCATGCTATGATAAACAGTCAAATGAAGGGGATCTTCAACTACTTCAGGTAAACATGACTTTGTACGTACGCACACACACACACACACACACACACATAATATGCATATACTCAAATCTGAATTGAAATACATATGTATATATTTGAAATTTTGCAATTTGATCATCTTAATCTGAAACTAGAGGTTTCAGCCTACCTTCAGCCTCACAGCCAGAATTAGTTACTGTCTAGGCTATGAGGAAAACTTGAGTCACTTGCTGATGAAGATCAAGCATGGCAGCCTTTGCTATGGATTACAACTCAATATAAAGAAGACCAAAATCCTCACAACTGGACCAATATGTCCAGTTGAGTCATCATGATATGTGGTCCAAGTGGACCAAATGGTTCAACTGGACCATCATAATGAATGGATAAAAGATTGGAGTTGTCAAGGATTTTTGTCTTGCTTAGATCTACAATCAATGCTCATGGAAGCAGCAGTCGAGATCAAAAGATGGGTAGCATTGGTACTCTGCTACACAAGACCTCTTTAGAGCATTGTAAAGAAAGGATGTTACTTTGAGGACAAGGTGCATCTGACCCAAGTCATGGTCTTTTCAATCATCCCATATGTGTGTGAACGTTATACATTGGCTAAGGCAGACTGAAATTTTGATACGTTTGAATCGTGATATTGGCAAAGAATATTGAAAAGACCCTGGGCTGCTAAAATGAAAAAAACAATCTGTCTTGGAAGAGGCAAGGATGGCTAGACTTTGAGTTACATACTTTGGACACGTTGTCAGAAGGGACCAGTCGCTGGAGAAGAACAGCATGCTTGGTCAAGTAGAGAGGCAGTGAAAAGGAGGAAGTCCCTCAACCAAGTGGATTGACACAGTGGCTGCGGCAATGGGCTCAAGCATAGAAACAATGAGAACAATTCGAAACAAACAGAAACAAAAGCCTGAGGGAAGAAAAGCACAACTGGGACTCAGCACTATGTTCCACGGATGTTCCTTCCCTTGGGATTCAGTTCAGTTCAACAGACGCTGACTGAAGTTCTACTGAGGTGGTGGTGGAGGTTGTTAGGTACCAATGAGTCAGTTCTGACTCATAGCAACCCTTTGTACAGCAGAAGGAAACACTGTCTGGTCCTGCACCATCCTCCCAATTGTTCTTATATTTGAGCCCATTGTTGTAGCCACTATGTCACTCCATCTTATTGAGGGCCTTCCTCTTTTTCACTGTCCCCCTACCTTACCAAGCATGATGTCCTTCTCCAGAGACTAGTCTCTCCTGACAACATGTCCAAAGTACTTAGATGAAGTCTTGCCATCCTTGCCTCTAAGGAGCATTCTGTCTGGATTTCTTACAAGACTGGTCTGTTTGTTCTTTGGGCAGTCCATGATACTTTCAGGATTCTTCCACAGCTCTATAGTTCAGATGCACCCATTCTTCTTCAGTCTTCTTTACTCAATGTCCAACTTTCACCTGCATGTGAAGCATATGAAATGAGCATAACTTTGGTCAGGCACACCTTCATCCTCAAAAAAAAAATCCTTGCTCTTCAACACTTTAAAGAGGTCTTGTGCAGATTTACCTAATTCAATACTTCATTTGATCTCTTGACTATTGCTTCCATGATCATTGATTGTTGATCCAAACAAGACAAAATCCTTGATAACTTCAATCTTTTATCTATTTATCATGATGCTACCCATTGCTCCATTTGTGAGAATTTTGACTTTCTTCACATTGAGCGCTGCAAGTCCTCTTCACTTTCAGCAAAGTTGTGTCATCTGCATATCAAAGGTTGTTAATAAGTCTTCCTCTCATCCTGATGCTATATTATCCCTTATATAATTCAGCTTCTCTGATCATCTGTTCAACATACATTGAATAAATATAGTAAGAGGCAGCAACCCTGATACACACCTTTCCTGATTTTTAACCCTTGTTCTATTCTCACAACTGCCTCTTGATCAATGTACAGGTTTCACATGGGTACAATGTGATGTTCTGTGATCCCCATTCTTCACAAGGGTACCCATAATTTGTTATAAAACACACAAATGTCGTAGCACAGTCAATAAAACCCAAGTAAACATCTCTCTAGTAATTTTACTCTGCTTTCAACCAAGATCTCTTTGAAGTGAGCAATGATGTCCACATCCTCTTCTGAAACTGCCCGGAACCTCTGGCAGCTCTCTGTCAATGTACTGCTGCAAACATTGTTGGATGATCTTCAGCAAACTTTTTCATGCATGAGATATTAATAATATTGCTCTATAATTTGACCATTTTGTTGGGTCGACTTTCTTTGGAAAAGGTGCAAATATGATCACTTCCAGTCAACTGACCAATTAGCTGTCTTCCAAATTTCCTGGCAATGCTTCCAGCGCTTCATCAATTTGTTGTAACATTTCAATTGGTATTCTATCAATTCCTGGAACCTGACTTTTGGATAATGTTTTCATGTAGCTTGGACTTTTTCTTTCATTACCATTGGTCCTTGCTCATAAACTGCCTCTTGAAATGGTTGAATGTCGACTTTTTGGTACAGTAATTCTGTGTTTTCATGCCATCTTCTTTTGGTGCTTTGTGCATCATTCAATATTTTGACAATAGAATCTTTCAATATTGCCACTTGAGGCATGAATTTTTTTCTTGAGTTCTTTCCCTTTAAGAGAGGCTGATGTGCTCTTCCCTCGTGGTTTCCTACCTCCAGGTCTTTGCTCATTTCATTATAATATTATGTTCTGTCTTCTCGAGCTGCCCTTGGAGATTTTCTGTTAGCTCTTAAAGAGCAAGGCTCAGAGTCTCTTCTGACGTCCACACTGATCTGTTCTTTCTTGTCTTTATAGTGACCTTTTGCTTTTTTCATGTATAATGTTCATGATGTCATCTCCGAGCTCACCAGGTCATCTGTCACTAGTGTTGAATATGTGAAATTTGTTCTTGAGATATTCTCAAAATTCAGGTGTGATAGACTCCAGGTTGTAATTTGGTTCTGGTGGATTTGTTTTAATTTTCTTCAGCATCAACCTGAACTTACATGTGAGCACTTGATGGTCGATCCCAGAGTCATGAGGCTTCAGTATCTGTGGATGTTTCAATGCTTCATCTTTCTATGTTGTACATTAGGTTTTTAATGGCTAATTCCTCTGAAGTGGACAGCCTCTTTCTTCTTTGTAGTCTGTTCTTGTTCTGGAAGCTCTGCTAAAACCTATCCACCCTGGGTGACCTTGCTGGTATTTCCGATGCCAGCAACATAGCTTCAAGCATCACAGCAACACACAACCCCCACCGTACGACAAACTGACAGACAAATGGTGGTCTACTGAGATAAAACTTAGAAACTAACAGACTGACAATGTCCAAAAATCAAAGACCACTGTCATCATTGATCCTCTATCATCAAAGGTAGGTTTACTGAAGGGTACACCATGAGGAACTAGGGATGGTTCAATAAGCTCATGTCCCAATGCCAGTTGTCTGATTCCTAGTAAGTCATCAAAAAATCATTTTGGGGTGATTTTGAATACGGGATGGAATTAAGTCAGACGATGGTAAATGTCATTGAGAAAAGGAAAGGCATTCTGGGCTTGGATTCAAGCAAATGACAAAAATGGGCAGGGCCACATCAGGACCTAAATTCTGTTGTTACAGGATAAAAAAGTAAGGAGCAGGAGGGAGGGCCTGGTCCTACTGGAGTAGCGTCAGGAAACTCCCCATCACCTCTGACACAGTAGCTGGTAGTATGATGCTGCTACAGAAATCATAAAGAGGTGTCAAGACTTCACCCTGGGTAACCTTCTAGGGCTAAAACCTAATTGTGTGGTCATCACTGCCCTGTGAGCTTGATTGTAAGAGAGGCTGAAAGGACTGCTTCTTACAGACATAAGCTTCCCAGAATTCAATTTTTATCAACTCATTAAGACCCAAAGTCCTGTTCAGGATTTATTCTTCCTTCTTCATCTAATCATATGGACAAGTGCAAAGTTCCTGAGAAAGCGTGAGTGAGAAGACAGAGGGAAGAAGCACATGGGCATTTGTAGCAATGTTCTATAGAACGGCTGTCAGCTGGGACCATTTACCTTCTAAATGGTGGGATTGTCGTGCAGCAGGGGCCCCAAGGATAGGGGAGTGAGAGTGATTCAATGATAGGAATGGGACCATGGTCATGGCTGCTATACTCCTGTGATTTTAGAAGGTCCACAGAACCAGAACCCTCTGGGTTCCAAGTTGAGCTTGAGGGTAGAAAGTAGGAAAGTGCTACAATTGTCTTCCTCTACCCTCTCAACTCAAGGAGCTCTGGTCATAAAGATTACAGCCTAGCAAATACACTGAGGAAGTTATGCTTTGTCATATAGGGTCATTATGATTCAGAATCAACTCAATCACATACAACAATAACAAGGAAAAAAATCCTACTCAAACTTTATCAGACTCCTGCTCTCCTTGCTTGGACTTTTCGAGAGCAGAGAGTGGTAAGCCCAGAAGAGGACTTGGGACATGAACAAAAAGAGAGAGGGAGGGTGAGTGTGCCCGGTGGCTGGTCTGCATATGCTTAGATCTGGGGAAAATCCACACTCAAGTGGACGTTAGAGTACTTTGTATTGAGAAGGTCTGTAAGGAATATTGTTGACCCTGGTGTAATGATAGCAGGTGCTCCTTTGTCCAGTGTGCAACCTTTCTTCTCACTCTGTACCACTGGAACCCTGGTTTCCTTCTGTTGGTCTTACTGCCAGTTGGTTCCCTCATCTAAAAACACCTGAGTTAAATAATGATTGATCTCTCCACAAGTTTCAACCATAAAACCACCAGCTATAGCATCATTGGCAGAGCAATTGAACTGAAGTTTGTGTAGACTAGCCTTGCCAAATGCATCTGAAAAGGTGTGCTGTCGTTTTTTTAAAAAATCATTACTGAGTTGTCATTTTGGCAGAATACCTTTCCAACCATGTTCTTTATAAAGACATCCTCAATAAGCAAGATATGTTCCGGTCATGTATATTCTGGGTTTTGTTACTGTCACCAGTGTCTAAAACTGCATCTCCTGTCTACTTTCTAGCTGAACGGTAGTGCCCAGATCAAGGACAAAACCATAAGCATCCTTAGGCTCCCCAAAGAAGCAGGCGATGTCAAACCCAACACCAAATGTCATGTGGCAGGATGGGGGAGCACTGACAAAAAGCAGCGTAAACTTTCGGATACCTTGATAGAAGCTAACGTCACTGTGATAGACCGAAAAATATGCAACGATGCAGGGCATTATAATTTCCATCCAGTTATTGGCAACAACATGATCTGTGCTGGTTTAAAAGATGAAGGTGATTCGTGTAAAGTAAGTAAACTTAAACCCCCAACAATTTTTTGGCAATAGAAAATAAGGTTAAAACAGAGTGCCTAGGAAGCACACTGTAGATGGTCATTGTGACTCTTTATTTAGACGGCCTGCAAAGAATATTGCTGGGCACTGCTGTGGTGGTAGCATGTGCGCCTTTGCCCAGAGTGATACCACCTTCCCAGGGAGACTTGCATCTTTGGTAATGATCATTTCTGGATACAATGTAAACACCATTCAAACGTGCTCTCCAGCCCTCTCACCAATGATAATGGCACCTGGCATGTTTTAGGTCCCAGAAACCAGCACGTTCTTCAATATCCCAGTGAATCTTTGAATAATTCCATGAGATCAACACGGTAATTATCACCCCTATGTTCAAACAACCACTTGCCATCAAGTCCACTCCAACCCACTGCAACCGCCTATGTGTCCGAGCAGAACTGTGTTTCATAGGGTTATCAATGGCTGATTTCTTGGAAGGAGATCACCAGGCCTTGCTTTCAAGGTGCCTTTGCGTGGACTTGAACCTCCAGTCTTTATTGTGAGCAACTCAGCAAATTATCTGCTGCTCTATCCAGGGACGTAAGACATGAGGAAATCAAGGCACAGAAAGTTATTTAATTTTTGAAGCTAAATAACCTATCATTGGAGTGGATCTGGATTTGGATGCAGGCCATCTGACTCCCAGCTGCTGTACTGTTTTGCCTCGTAGGTGCCAAGAACAGGTTTATCCATGGTTGAAACTATTTATAACTCAAAGCCCAGAGGTAGTTTGACAAGGTCAGAGGACACATTGAATAGGTGCTAATGGATCTGGAAATGAATTTCTGAAGTTTGTATGAAATAGTACCAAGTACTCCTAGGGCTATGATGGCTTAGTTAGTGGTCTTTTGGGAAGTGAGTTGCGATCCTACCTCAAGCCTTTTTGCAGCCCCCAACATTTAATTCTTTACCCTGATGTCTACTAACCAAGCACAGGGAGGGAGAAGGATACAACTAAACTGAAGGAAACGATTATTTTTTCACAATTAAAGTCTTCCTGTATTGTCCTATGTTGTATTGATGGTAATTGTTTTAGTCTGGGTTGACTAGAGAAACAAATTCATAGACACTCAAATGTGTATAAGAAAGAGCTTTATGTACAAGAGCAGTTTAATCTTGAGAAAGCATCCTAGCCCAGCCCAGATCAAGTGCTTAAGTCCGCTATTAGCCCATATGTCCAATACCAATCTATAAAGTGTTCTTCAGATTCACACAACACATGCAATGACGCCAAATGCAGAAAGATCACAGGCCAGTATGTTGAAACTCTTGTTGATCCAGTGGCAGTAGAAGCATCTCAGCGCCTCCAGGGGTTTCCACGTGGCTCCTCCAGCTCAGAGCACTAGCGTAGCTCCATGTGTTTTGCCAGTTACAATGTTTCCCAGGGAGTGAGTGTGTGTCCCGCCTCCAGTGAGCTATTTATCTTCTTAGTGCCTCCAAATGAGGTGATCAAACTGTGACATGATTGACAGGCTACACTCCACCCCTTCACTCCTAAGTCTCAAATTGACAGCAGATTACATAACTACCACAGTAATGAATCATCACGTCTTTCTCTTTGTTCAAAAGGGAAATTGTTGAAAAGAGATAAATCAGTGTTAATTAATCCTGAAGGAGATGATTATTAAAAGAGATTTTAAATCAGTTTTTAATAAGGAAAGAGAGCGAATGAGTTAATAAGCTAATGAATGCATAAACATACCATCTTTGGAAAGCACTGACATTTAAAATACATAACTTTCTATTCCAGGGTGATTCTGGAAGTCCTCTGATATGTGGTAACGTTTTCAAAGGTGTCACTTCCTTTGGGGACTGTGGTAATCCCCGAAAACCTGGCATCTACACTCTTCTTACAACAAAATATCTCAACTGGATAAAAAAATCCATTGGAGTAGACATGTGACATTCCTCCTTCAAAGTAGAAAGCTGAGGTAACCACCTGGAGATGTCAAGGAAAGGGGTTTCGACTTGGCCTATCCCAAGAAGAACCTCACCCACCTTCTTAATTTGATATACAAATTACAGCTTACCTGGAACAACGCCAGTCAATGAAAGAAATTGTTTCCCATTCTCACGCTTCTATCATCAGCTAAGACCATGTCATCTTATTCTCTTTCCCTGGCAGAAATGTTCTTTGAAGAAAAAGTCCCTGGTCCCATGACCCTTTGCTTTACTCAGAATTTAGGACTGCCACTTCTGTGCTTGTGCTTAAAAAGAAGTCAGTCCTTTAACAAGTTGGACATTCTTCATTTGTTCAAATGGAGTTCCAAGTTCTCTGTGACCTTCGAAGGTATAGCCTGTGAGTCTGTTCAATGCATGAGCATGGAAGAGATGAAGGATGGTATTGACTTCTTACTCAATCTTTCTGTGTACTTTAATTTTCAATAAAAATTAAATGAGAAGCCATTAAATATATTCAGTGTTGGCTTTAGATATGTCAGAAATTAAGAGTTTGAGGCTAAAGATAGTTCAGAGCAAGTAGACTGAAGTGTTTATGCCCTTAAAGCTCAGTTCAACCCTCACCTTGATGTGTATTTTGCCTTAGCTAGTCAATTTATTCATGCAAGCACAAAGTTTAAATCTGTCAGTCTCAATAAATTTGAATACATAATAAAGAAAAACTGTTTCTTTTAGCATGTGTTATTTATCTTATCTTTTTGTAGTGCTTATTAGCCTCTAAGAGCTGATTTTAAATGAACTCATCCTACAATAATACAGAGGCCTTGAGTGGTATAAGCACTCAACTAAGAGCTGAAAGACTGACAGCTCAAACTCACCAAGTCAGTTCAGAAAATAGGCCTCATGATCTGCTTCCCAAAGGTCACAGTCTTTAAAACCTACACATGGGGTCACCATGAGTCAGAACTAACTTGGCTGCAACTACCAACAGGAGCCCTGGTGGTGTAGAGGTTACATATTGGGCTGAGACCTACATGGTCAGCAGTTCAAAACCAGCAGTAAGAAAGACTGGGCTTTCTACTCCTATAAATAGTTATAGTCTTGGAAACCCACAGGGGCTCACTATGAGTCAGGCAGTTTGGAGTTTTTGAATTTGAGGAGCAACTAACTAATAGCAACATAATGTTTTTATTTATTTAAAGATCATTTTATTGAGGGCTCTTATATAGCTATTGTAAAAATCTATACATCAATTGTATCAAGCATATATGTACATATGTTTCCATCATTATTTTCTAGACATTTACTTTTTTAATCATTTTATTGGGGGCTCATACAATTCTAATCACAATCCATACATCCATACATTGTAGCAAGCACATTTATACATTTGTTGCCATCATCACTCTCAAAACATTTGCTTTCTGCTTGAGCCCTTGGTATCAGCTCCTCATTTTTCCCCTCTCTTCCCACTTCCTCATGAACCCTTGATAAATTATAAATTATTATCTTGTATATCTTACACTGTCTGATGTCTCCCTTCACCCACTTTTCTATTGTCCATCCCCCAGCGAGGAGGTTATATGTAGATCCTTGTAACTGGTTCCCCCTTTCTACCCCACCCTCCGTCCACCCTCCCAGTATTGCCACTCCCACCACTGGTCCTGAAGGTATCATCTGTCCTAGATTCCCTATGTTTCCAGTTCCTATCTGTACCAGTGTACATCCTCTGGTCTAGCCAGATGTTTACGGTAGAATTGGGATCATGATATTGGGGGTGGAGGGAAGAAGCATTTAAGAACGAGAGGAAAGTTGTATGTTTCATCGTTGCTATACTGCACCCTGACTGGCTGGTCTTCTCCCCACGACCCTTCTGTAAGGTGATGTCCAGTTGCTTACATATGGGCTTTGGGAACCCAATCTGCACTCCACCTCATTCACAATGATATGATTTTTTTGTTCTTTGATGCCTGGTACCTGATCCCTTCAACATCTCGTGATCACTGGTGTACTTCTTCCATGTGGGCTTTGTTGCTTCTGAGCTAGATGACCGCTTGTTTACCTTCAAGCCTTTAAGACACTATATCCTTTTATAGCTAGGCACCATCAGCTTTCTTCACCACAATTTCTTATGCACCCATTTGTCTTGTGATAGTGTCAGGAAGGTGAGCATCATGGAATGCTAGTTTAATAGAACAGAACAAAGTGTTCTTGCATTGAGGGAGGGCTTGAGTGGCGGCCCAATGTCCATCTGCTACCTTAATACTAACCCTATATATATATGCACATAGATCTATTTCCCCATCATCCTATATAAATATATTTACATAAGTACATGCCTGTGACATTTACTTTCTATTGAACCCTTGCCTTGGTATCAGCTCCTCTTTTTTCCCTCCCTCCTCACCTCCACCCTCATGACCCCTTGATAAATTATAAATTATTATTATTTTCCTATCTTACACCAACCGCTGTCTCCTTTCCCCCACAGTTTCTGTTGTAGGTCCCCCTGGAGAGGGGATGGTGGTGGTTATATAATTGCAATTGGTTCCCCCTTCCTCCCATCCTCTCCCCACTTTCCCCCTACCCTTCAGGTTTTGCTACTCCCATTCCTGTTCCTGGCTTCTGTGTACTGAATTTTGCTAGTCAATTCATCAAACATTCCTTGAGGGTCCACTGTTGGACAGGCATTAGCAGTGTAAGCACAGCGATAACTAAAATGTGATGATTACCCTAATAAAAGACAAGGAAAAGCCCATAAATAAAAGGACCTACTTCATATTCTGATGAACAAATAACAAGAACAAAGCCATCTACTGTGTTAAGAAGTTGATAAGGGAAAGGATAGCTATATTTCAACATCCATCGGCCATAGTAATTAGCCACAGTAGTCTTCTTTGTCTTGAGATCTGTCTTATATTTAGATAGACCCAAAAATTTTTCAGAATCCTGACTGGAATAGTGACAGACAGCACAGCAGCCTGTTGGAAACTGCACTGACCTGCAAGTCAGAATACGGTTTAGCATTTCATCACTAAGTGGTTTCAAGATGTTGAGAATTCCCATGTGCTTTCATTTTCACGTCTATAAACTTGCAATAGTAAGAAAAGAGTCTTAAATGAGATGCCCTCAGAATTTGAGGCCAAGATTTTGTCCATCTTTCTGCTTCCTTCTACCCCTCCGAAATGGCTATAATCAAAGGTGGACAAAAGCAGTATTGGTGAGAATGTGGGGGAATTGGAATCCTCATAGTTTGCTGGTAGGAATGTAAAATGGTAAAGCCAGACAGATTTGTGACTGTTCCCCTAAATGTTACACAGAGAGTTCCACACGGTCCTGAAAGTTTACTGCTAGGTGCGTGTCCCAGAGAAACGAAAATACATCCACACAAAAACCTGCACATGAATGTTCATACATTCATCATAACAATTGATAAATAGATCAATGAAACCTGGGATAGCCATATAATGAGTTAGTATTTGGCAATTCAAAGGAATGGAGTACTGACACAAATTACAGCCCAGATAAATCACATGATGCTAGGTGAAGAAATTAGTTACAAAATACATACTGTGTGATTCCAGTTATCAAATGTCCAAGATCGGAAAACCTAGATTTGTGGTTGCTTCAACCTGGAAGGGGTATTGGGCATAAAAGGTGGGGGAAATGGGCAATGACTACCAATGGATATAAGACTTCTCATGATGATGAAAATGGTTGCACAACTATAAATATATTCAACCCCATTGAAGTATGTACTCTAAATGAGTAAGATTTAGGGCATGTTGATTCTATTTCAACAAAGGTCTGCATAAATGGAAAATAACAACCATATTCACAAAAAGAAGCAAAATTAGTAAAGTTTCTGTAAGACAGTTTCAGTAGTCAACCAAGCCAAACCCACCAAACCAAACCCAGGAGCCAGGTATCCCCCTGTCGTTACTGAAAATAACTCGCCTCTGATGCAATAGTGCAATCTGGGGGGGAAAGGAAGGGTGCTCTCCCCCAAGATCATGTGATTGCTGAAAAAGCAACTGCCCAATCCGAAGCTACCAAGGTCAACTATAACTGAGTCAACAACAAATCCCCTGACAGAACACTGACCATATACTATAATCAATTCTTATAATGAGATGGTCCCAGTTATCAGAGCAAAAGATCTGTGTCTGGTTCCCTTTATTTTTTCTCTCCCAGTTGATTCGGGAAGGAAGAGATGAAATGATTTTAAATCTTGCCTTAAAGCAGTGGTTCTCCACCTGTGGGTCATGACCCTTTTGGGGAGTCGAACCACCCTTTCACAGCAGTTGCCCAATTCATAACAGTAGCAAAATTACAGTTATGAGGTAGCAACAAAAATAATTTTATGATTCAGGGGGATCACCACAACATGAGAAACTGTACTAAAGGGTCACGGCATTAGGAAGGTTGAGAACCACTGCCTTATATAAACTGTTGGTATTTTTTCCAATTTACCAACAAATTTGACTTAACGACACACCTGGGAAATACATTTCGTTCACAACCCAGGAATTGTCTTTACTATGCCAGGGAGTACCCCACCCCCTCAGCCAAAAAAAAATGGAAGACAGCTCCACTAGGCGGAGCTTTCATAGTATGTTTCCCAATAGACAAGCATAGAACAACTCACTCCAAGTTAGTGTACCCAGTGGTGTCACCTGGGAAGGTTCTCTCTGGTCACAGTGAATATTTTTAATTAAAGACATTTTGGTCAAACCTCCTTTTTTAGCTGATGGTTGATTTAAAAGAACAGTGCACAACTGTAAAATTTTGTTTCCTGTTTGGGAAAATTGCCACAGAAACTGTTGTGATATTGAGCAAAGCTTGCAAGGACAGCGCTATGGGGAAAACTCAAGTGTATGAGTGGTTTTCTCATTTCTAAAAAGGTGAAATATCAATTGATGACAAACCTTGTTCTGGACGTTCATCAACTTCCCAAATGGACAAAAATGTTGACTCCTAGTGCATTTGGAGTTCATTCCACCAGGTCAGACTGTTAATCAACCTCTATTTAGACAAAACAGGCTTGATCTGTGGCACCACAACAGTACACCTGCTCATGCAGCCATCTCAGTGCACCAGTTTGGGGCAAAAAAAACCAGCATGCCTCTTGCCCCATGCACCTTCCTCACCTGACCTCACTCCATGCAACTTCTTTTTGTTTCCACGAATGAGGAAGGACATGAAAAGACAGCAATTTGACAACATAGAAGAGGTGAAGAAAAAACTGAGGGAGGTACTGTCAGCCATCCAAACAGATAAGTTTGGAAAATGTTTCCAAGAATTGAATCGCAGATTTGACAAATATATTAAATGTAATGAAGAGTACTTGGAAGGTGATACGGTTGTTTTGTTAAAATTTTGAAAATATATACCTTGTAAAAAATTCCATTGTGTGTGTGTGGGGGGGGAGATACCCCCTCATAGTCTGATGGCAACGAATCCCCTGGTCCCACCAGTGTGATGATTTACACACTTCCACCTCAGCCTCCTGGCAGGGGCAACCTTCTGAGAATAGAAATTAGTCACTCTTCTCACTTGTGTTCTGATTCTTAATGCTAACTAAACTTTGAAATTGCAAAGAAAGAAAGGAACCACATCCTTTGTGCTCTCAATATATAGGTTAGCAGCAGTCGAGCATAAAAGACAGATTTTCAAGTTGATGTATGTGGGGACACCAGCCACAATGAGGAACTCCTGCACAGGTCCGGCATTTTTTCTCTCAATGGTCATTTTTCTCCTGCTAATTCCTAAAGGTAAGCCAGATTCTTGCCATTTCCATTATAACCATTAAGCAAAATGGAGCATGGTCTCAATGACTATTTGGCGATATCAGCGTTCTCCACTATAACCAGACTCACTGCCATCGAATTGATGCTGACTCATGGAGACCCCCTGTGGGCTTCCCAGACTGTAAATGTTCATAGGAGTAGAAAGTTCAGCCTTTCTCTCACAAACTGCTGGTGGTTTCAAACTGTACACCATGCAGATCTCAGCCCAATGCATAACCATTACATCACCAGGGCTCCTATGGTCTACAAAGAGAAGTTTGTTGTTGTTGTTGTTGTTGTTTCTCCAACCCTAAAATAATTAGAATTCTTTGTTGCTTCCTTACAAATTCCTAACAAAAGGAGCATGCCACACACACACCTTGAAAGAAAGAGGGAGAGAGGAAAGTGGGGAATGGGAGGGGGGACAAAAGGCCATGTAAAAACAAGCAAATTGATAATAAAACAGCCCTTGAGTGGGGGGAAACCCAGGACATTCAGGAAAGGCATGGTTGTGCTTAAGTCAAGTAAGCCTTTTGCAGCAAGAAAATATATGCATATATTAGGTACAATTAAGATAAACATGACCTAGACTCCAAAATGAACCAGGAATTATTCAAATTTTTGTAATGATCTCTTTAAGCCAAAGTCTCTGTTGTTTTTCCTTTGGGTTTTTTGTTCTTTTAACTAAGCTACATTTGTTTTGCATGCTAAATATTAAAACTAATATTCATAGTTTTACCTAAGCTCCACAGGTGTTGGCTTGAAACACTGTAAGATTCCTGCTTGTCTCTGAGAGAGTAATAGCCCCGGGTAGTTCTCGACGTTCCTTGTAGACCCTTCTAAGAAGTGATGGCCACTCTGGCACTGGGATGACAAGCGATGGGGGGTCAGTTTTTCTCCAGAGTCTGGCAGCTTTGGAAGGTGGCAAGAGTGAGCAGAGACTAACCATCTCTCAAGTCAGAAATTATTTTTTAAAAGTTCACTAGGTGATCTTGTAGCTGAGGAGGAAAAGGCATTTAAAAATAACAAGGCAGAAATTGGGGACAAAAGAATGAGCATATTATTAAGTGTCTCATAGTATGACCATGTTCAGGCATACTAAAGTCTCCACAACCTTAAGAAGAGGGCAGATAAAAATTCTGATCATATCTTTTCTTCAAAGGAAACAAAGCCACTGGCTCTGCCTCAGTGGGTTTCCTGTGGTCAGGGAGCCATACAGGCCCCTGAAGGACACAGAAACACAAGCCCAGGGGTCTTAACCCTGCTATACATTAGAATGAGCTAGAGATCTTTTTTTTAAATGCCTACATGCCAGCCCCAGCCACAGAGGTTTTCTGATTTTATTCTAATGGGGTCCAAGAATTGTTCTTTTTTAAAAGCTTCCGAAGCAATGACCCAGACCCTCCTAGGACTGCTGTGGTAAGAAAGGTGGGCTTATTTCTGAGACATGTGTGCGTGCTCACCCCACCTTGGGACTCGGCATAAACAAATATTCTCTTGCATACGGAGTTTGTGGTGTCTTCTGAGAAGATTCCAAGGTGCCCTATAACATGAATCCCCCTGGGAAGAATTGAGGTGTGGGGAATGTAATCTTTGTTTCTTGCCCTTTTATTTCTGGAGCCTAGAATTTGGCTTAACCCACTCCCCTCAGGAAATGAGAACCATGTGGTGACTCTCTTCTCCTTTATGCTCACCCTAATCAAATTGTAGGGAAAGCTCCAGATCTATATCGTCTATCTTGCAGATAATTCGGTAGTGAATTGGCTTTAATTATGGTGCCTCCTTCATGGAACAGTGAGCCTCAGCCAACACGTAGGAGAGGTATTCTAGGAACTGTTGGTCTAGAAAGATGAACACCATTCCACAATGACCCAAGTCCTCTCAGTTGACATGTATGTCTATGGTTTGTTTGCCTTGTGTTCAGATGTAATCATTAGTTTATAACAGGTCTATACTCTGTCTATCATTAAAGAAATCATTTTGTTTTGCTCAATAGCATCTTCTTACTTCTTCGACCTCATTGTAAAAGACCTTAAGTTAAACCATGAGGTTCCATCGAGAGATTCAAAGGGAGCCTCAGATGCAGCTGAGGCTCTTCTCTCAATCAATGAGGGAGGACAGTGTCAAGTTCAATAGCCTGAAGTCTCACAACCACCAAAGAACTCATGTGTTGGATAACAGACTAAAGATGCTATTATTATCAGTGCTTAAGATCTCTCTCTCTTTTTTTTTTTCTTTGCAAGGGCTTGGGGTGAAAAGCATATTTCTCAGGTTTCTAAAATCACGCTGCTCTTCAGATAAATACTGAGACAGAAGGCAGTCGTGGGGGCTGCTCAGGAGTTTCCATTGGCAGGAGCATCGCTCATAACAACTGTTACTGGTTTAGGTCAAGACACAACTCCCTGTCCTTTGCTAGACAGCTGTGAGGGCTGAGGCTGGTAATCTGTGACGGATCCCAGCCCGAGAATCCCGGAGACAGCCAACAACAAGGCTTCAGGGAGTGACGGTAAAGAGTCCTCTCAAAATATCCCACAGGAATGGGCTTTGCGTTCAGATGATTAAGGTTGACGTGTGGGAAAAGCCAGGGGGGATGAGCTCACCAGGATTTTCTCTCCACCTGGGAAAACTCTGGCTGGTCTGAGGATTGGGACTTTGTGGAGAGCTCTTTGAGTAGGCTCTCACCTGAATTGCTTTTTTTCTATTGAACAGGCTTCTGTGCCAAAATCATTGGAGGAAATGAAGTGGATCCTCACTCAAGACCCTACATGGTCCTTATTAAAGGGGAAAAAATTTGTGCTGGGGCTTTGATCAGGAAAGACTGGGTTTTGACTGCAGCTCACTGTCGACTGTAAGTGCTTTGGTTTGTTTGCTTGCTTATCAACTTGTGGAGCTATTTAATTTCGGTGACATTCATAAAAAGAGATACTTAGCTGACTTACCAGAGGGCTGGTGTGTATTTTCACTGCCCTTGCATTTGTCCTACTCCAAACCGTCCAAACCCACTGCAATCAAGTCAATCCCAACTCATGGCAACTTCATGTGCTAAGACTTGGTCTACTCCTTAGGTTTTCTTGGCTAGAATCTTCACAGAAATAGATTGCCAAGACATCTTCCATGACACCACGGAGTGGGTTCAGCAGTTGGACTTAAATCACTGGTGTCACACAGGGATCTGTTGCCATAACTCAGTTGGGAGCTGAGCCCGGACCAAAGCGCAAGGCTTTGGTGAAGCAGCAGCATCCACCGCTCTAATGTGGTTCTCAGTAATCGCCTCCATCCATGTGCTGTGAGGTTGTGCTTCTGCTCATGACTGTACAACTTAGGAGTTCACCATTGATGGAAGATGAAGACTTTCAGTGTCCCTCAGAGGCCGAGACACAACGGGCCAGTTACTTCTTTAGAATGCCTTCCCGTCTCCCTCAGGAAAATTCTCTCTCTTCTTCAGCTCTCTCTTAAATCCTGTCAACTATTTCCTTCAGCTCTCTTCCAGTCCTGGTTTTTCCCCAACCCATATTAGATAACTCTGGATTAGAATCAAACCTCTAATCCAAGGGCATCCAACATGATAGCCAAAAACCACTGAGAGTTATATAAATGTAAATTAATTAAAATTAGTTAAAACTATAAATTTAGCTCTTCACTCACCCTATCCCTATGTCTAGTGCTCAGCAGTCACAGACAGCAACTGGCTACCATATTGCACAGCATAAATTTGTGGAATATTTCATCACCAAAATTAGCTCTCCTGGAAAGCATTGTTCTGTCATTTTTAAGGAGACTATACTTAGCTGATGCTCTGGAAAAATGAAGTGTGGATAGCTGTTTGGTGCATTTTGTGCAAGGATGTGAATGTGATGATAGGTTTAACTTCCCAAGAGTATTTAATTTTGTTAAGCAAACCAAACTTTTAGCATGGAGTCAGAGGAGCCCTGACATGAAACACAGCCCTCCATTAGGCAGTGTAATCCTGAGACAGTTTTCCAGTGAAGGTAAGTGTGTTGTTCACTCCCGGAGATCTTTCCCATCTATTACTCTACATCCTGCTTACCCGGATATCTTTTACCCCGGTGTCCAAACCACTGAGACCTCTGTTTTCCTGTTTCTTCTGAAGCTCGGTTCCCTACCAGGGCTAATGGGTGCACATCCCTAAAACCCTACCAGAGATCTCAAGACTTGACTTAACTACATTGGAATTTGATGATTTGATTTTCAATGAATTTAATTTGTTACATATGAAGTTGGTGCTAATGATGATTAAACTTAAAAGCATCTTTCTTTGTTATTCTTCAAAGCACATGAACAGGGGTGTTTGTTTGTTTGTTTGTTTGTTTGATTGTTTTGTTTCTTTCTGAGCTACGAAGAAGGAGCTACACAACAAGCATATTTACAAAGGAGACCCTGACATTGGGCAGCACACACTCTCTTGACCACTTGGTTAAAAGCCCAGGTTCAGTGAAATGGTGTCATGTCTGTTTCAGAAACAACGATTCCAAGGTGATTCTTGGAGCTCACACCATAGCCAATAATGAGTCTGAAAAACAAATAATGGCCATTGAGAAACAAATACCCTATCCATGCTATGACCAAGACACACATGAGGGTGATCTTCAACTTCTACAGGTATGTATTTTAATTGTCTTATTAAAAATCATAGAACCTCCTGCAATCTAGTCACCTAAAGGGAAACCTTTTCTCCAAACTCAAATAATGGGTCCCTGAGAGTTGGACTAGGATATGCACGGAAATGTATGCATTGTAATGATCTCATTGTCTGAATTCTTGATGTTTGTCTACCAACAGCTGAACAGAAAAGCAGACCTTAATAAAAATGTAGCTGTCCTTGCCCTACCCCGAAAGGGGGAAGACGTAAAACCAGGAACAACCTGTCAAGTTGCAGGGTGGGGGAAGACTAACAATATGTCACCTCAGTTTTCAAATACTCTAAGAGAAGTCAATATCACTGTCATAGACAGAAAAACCTGCAATGATGAAATGCACTATAATTATAATCCCGTGATTGGACTGAATATGATTTGTGCTGGAAGCCTCAAAGGTGGAAAGGACTCGTGTAATGTAAGTAAAATAAGAATAAGATCTGATGTCTCAGCAGTTGTTTTGTGTCGTGCAGGTATAGAAAGCATAATGCAATACTCTGTCTTGTCGTGATGTTGGCTTATACAGGTTCTATCGCTTTTTGAAAGTGTTATTAACAAAACCCCAGCCAGTCAAAGGAATTAATGTCCTCCACTTCAGTTGGTTGTTCATCAAAAAATAAGTTCACTGCTAACCCATGGGTTGACCCACTATGTCATCTAGTAGTTTTCCACTGGAGAAGCAGCGTTTCTCTTTCTTTCATTTTTCTTATTTGTGTGGATTAAAACTTAAAAATATGTAACACTCAGGAGAACTGAAGCTCGCGTGCTCTCAGGCCTTCAGGGTCCTTTTCCCCACCCCAATGCACTGCACGCTTCAAATTTCTCTCCTGCGTAGAAGGGTGAAGTCATTCCCAAGACTAGCTGAGAATCTGGAGCTAGACCCTGTAGGTTCCTAGAGCCAGATTGAATCTTCAACAATCAACTGCCAGGTATAAGGCACTCCATAGAATGAGTGGAGCTCCGTATGAGTGCTTTGAGAAGTGGTTGGACCTGATTAAAAACAGGGTTAGAAAAAAAGGGAAAGAAAAACCATTTTGCATCATATTTTTCAACTCTCCCAGGGGTGTACAAAGTACGTGGCTTGAAAGTTATTAGAGATCGAGGTCCTTCAGCACCAAGGCTTAGCGTACCCCAGGAAAAGAGGGAATTTAACTTCAGCATCCTCCCACACTCTCCTATTTGCCCTCCCTCTGCCATATCTTCCTCTCCTCCATCACTCAGGGCATCCAGGAACTCAGAAGCTTCATGCTCTTGGAACCGCTAGCATCTCGTGATGCTAGCTCCTCTCATCCAGCCACCTCTCTGCCATCAAAGTTTAGCCATCTTTCCCCATGCTCTCAATGCCCAAGACTCTTTATAATTGACTGTTGACTAACTAAACGTGAAGGACACCAAGAATTGCAGGACTTGTTAACAGACAGGGAAAATATGACTGCCCAGGAAGGACCCCAGATTCTCAGATGGTCTCTTACTTCATCCATTCATTCATAAGACCAACTGTTGTGTGAAACAGGCAGATCATTGTTGCCTTCCCACCAAATCAAACCAAAACCAAACCCACTGCCATCAAGTTGATACTAATTCATAGCAACCCTAGAGCTGTGTTTCCCAATGTGGGTAATACCAACTGCTAAGGGGTGCTGGAATGATCCAGGGAAGTAGGCAATTGCAAAAGCAGATACCTACATTTTATCCTGGATTATGGGCTAAAGTACAGAAGTTTTAATTTTTTTTTTCTTTTGGAAAAGGTGACATTAGGCCATAAGTTTGGGAACCAATGTAAAGAGTCTCTGGGACTATAAATCTTTATAGGAGCAGACACCATACGGTGAAATTGCTCCCTCCGCCTTGCATCCACTCAGTTCCATCTACAAGCTTCTCCTTCTCTCTGGTACTAAAGCTTTAGGGAAAGCTCCAGACTTCAAACACATTTGAATATACTGCTTCTAGAGTTCCAGAAGGAAATACAAGGGCATACATTGTTGGCCACCAAAACCCAAACCCACTGCCATCAAACAGCTTCCGACTCCTAGAGACCCTATAGAGGGCAGAACAGAACTGCTTCTTAGGGTTTCCAAGACTGCCGATCTTCATAGGAGCAAAGAATAAAGTAGCAATTGATAACTAACTGGAACATCACTTCTGGATAGTGAGACCCTGAATGCAATCCCTGCTTTTCTGGAATTTCTAGGTAATGTCAGGTTCTCAGGGGAGTGATTTTTGTCACCTTGAGGAGTCCTGGTGGCCCAGTAGCTTTAGTGTTGCACCGCGAACAGCAGTGGGTTGGGTTTGGTTGGTTGAAGATGAGTAACAAGAAGGAAGGTTCCTTTGGTTTGTTTTCAGGAGAGCGGAACCAGAAAGCAGCTTCATGGGTTTTTGTTGTTGGGGGGTGGGGGGTGTTTATAGCCTCAGTACCCCATCGGAATTTGATAATTGACCCTTTGAATCATTAAGTGTCTTTTGAGAAAACGACATGTCAACAGGAGTGTTTCCTTTCATTTATATGAAAGCAGAGAATTAGATAAAGTGATCAATCTCAAGATTACCTGATAACTGAAACTATAGCATGAGCTTTGTTGTGATTGTTCATAAATACACGGAGTGAGCCAATTTAAATCACAAAATGCTTTCCAACATTTGGGGTTTTTAAGCACATCACTTAAGATTGATCTTGACTTTATATTGAATGATGTAGAATTTCTTCCACTTCACAAATGGTCGTGTTCAACTCTGACACCCCACCCCACCCCCACTACCCTTCTTGTTTGCCCTCAGGGAGATTCTGGAAGCCCTTTGATATGTGATGGTATTTTCCGAGGCACCACTGCCTTTGGCCTTCCAGAGAAATGCGGAGACCCTCGGGGACCTGGCATCTACATACGTCTCACAAGGAAATACCTCATATGGATAGTGAAGACTGTCAGGGGGATACCTTTGTGAACTCTACCTCGTGTTCTGTCATTTTCTCATTTTGCCATAAATAAAATCAATTTGTATGATTGCACCTGCTTTTCTCCTAGCACATTCGTGGACAAATATATGATTGTACCAGCTTCTCTCCTGCAAGGAAGCAGAATAATACAGCAAAATCATGAATAATGCAAAGAAAAGATTAGGCAGCAAAGTCACCAGGGTCATCCATGTGTCCACTAACATGGGAATTTTACCCAAATTACCCATTCAACTTTCTCAGTGGGAGCCAGAATATGTGGCACTAATATCAGGCCTGTCCAGTAACATGAACAATAAAGAACTCCAAAATCTACAAGAAACACACAAGGCCCATCTGGGGCAGTTGGGTTAAAACAAAATGAGCCTGTCCTTCAAATACACTATTTCATGTCAACACCTGCTATTCATAGTATAGTCAAGAACCTAGGTCTAGGAGGGAGATAAAAATAGGAATAGAAATGCTTGACAGTATTTCCCAAAAGCAGATTAGGAATAGGAATTAAAGTTCTGGAGACTCCAGATAATAAAGTTGGCTAGTCAGGGATCAGGTGTAAGGCATCATCAGAACAAAAAATCTTACCATAGTGAATGATGGGGGGTGTGCGGAGTGGAGATCCAAAGCCCATTAGTAGGCCACTGGAGATCTCCTTGCAGAGGGGTCTCGGGGAGTAGATGAGCCAGTCAGGGTGCCATGTAACAATGATGAGAAATACAACCTTCCTCTAGTTCCTAAAGGTTTCCTCCCCGCTCCCACTACCATGACTCGAATTCGATCTTGCAAGACTGGCTAGACCAGAGGAGGTACACTGGTACAGATAGGAACTGAAAATACAGGGAATCCAGGACGGATGAGCCCTATAGGACCAGTGGTGTGAGTGGCAAAACAGGGAGGGTAAAGGGAGAATGGGTAGGGAAGAGGGAACCGATTACATGGAACTGTGTGTGACCTCCTCCCTGGGGGACAGACAAGCGAAAAGTAGGTGAAGGGAGAGGTCGGACAGGGCAAGATATGACAAAATACCCATTTATAAACTATCAAGGGCTCATGCGGGAGGGGGGAGCAGGGAGGGAGGGGAAAAATGAGGACCTATTGTCGGGGGTTTAAATGGAGAGAAAATGTTTTGAGAAACGATGTACAAATGCACTTTACACAATTGATGTGTGTATGGATTGGGATAACAGTTGTATGAGCCCCTAATAAAATGTTTAAAAAAAAAAAAAAGAAAAGAAAACAAAGCAAAACAAAACAACAAAATAAAACAAAAAACAAAACAACAACAACAAAAAATAAATAAATAAATAAAGTTGGCTAGTCAAGAAAAGTTGTTGTTGTTGTTGTTGTTAAGTGCAGCCCAGTCGGTTTCCACCCATAGCAACCCCTATGTACAACAGGGTAAGCACTGCCCAGACCTGCACCGGCATCACAATTGTTTATGTTTGAGCTTATGTTGCAGTCACAGTATCAATCCATCTTGTTGAGGGTCTTGCTCATTTTCACTGACCTTCTACTGTACCAAGCATGATGTCTTTACCCAGGGACAGGTCTCTCCTGACAACATGTCCAAAGTATGTAGTCCAAGTCTCACCATCCTTGCCTCTAAGGAACACTCGAGCAATGCTTCTTCCAAGACATATTTCTTTGTTTTTCTGACAGTCCATTGTACTTTAAAGATTCTTCACCAGCACCATAATCCAAATGCATCAATTCTTCTTAGTCTTTCCTATTCAATGTCCAACTTTCACACTCCTATAAGGCAATGGAAAATACCATGGCTTGGGTTAAGCCTACCTTAGTCCTCAAAGAAACATCCTTCCCTTTCAATGATGTAGAGAGGTATTGGGCAGCAGATTTTCCCAATGCAAATCATCATTGGATCTTTTGACTGCTGCCTCCATGAGCACTGATCATGGATTCAAGCAAGGCAAAGCCCTAGACAACTTCAATCTTTTCACCATTGATCTTGATGTTACTTGTTGGTCCAGTTGCCAGGATTGTTATCTTCTTTATGATGAATTGTAATCCATACTGAAGGCTGCCTCCTTGGTCTTCATCAGCAAGTGCTTCAAGTTCTCCTCACTTTCATCAAACAAGCTTGTATCACCTGCATGTTGAAGGTTGTTAAAAAGCCTTCCTCCAATGCTGATACCATTTTATTTTTATATAATCCACCTTCTCTATTTGCTCAGTATACAGATAGAGTAAGGATGGTAAGAGAGTACAACTCTGATGTAAACCTTTCCTTATTTTAAACCATGCCATATCCCCTGCTTCTGTTCAGACAACTACCTCTTGATTCATGTACAGGTTCTGCATAAGCACGATGAAGTATTCTGGAATTCCAATTCTTCCCTAGGGTGGCCATAGTTTGTTATGCTATATGAGGACAAATGCCTTTGAATAGTCAATGAAATACAAATAAACATCTTTCTGGTACTCCATACTTTCAGCCAAGATTCATCTGACATCAGCAATGATAACCCTTGCCCCATATCTTCTTTGGAATCCACCCTGGCAGCTCCCTGTCAATGTATTGCTGCAGCCCTTATATTCAGCAATATTTTACTTGTATGTATTATCAATGACATTGCTTTGTAATTTAAGCATCCCATTGAGTCACCTTTCTTTGGAAAGGGGACAAATATGGATCACTTCCAGTCATTTAGCAAAGTAGTTGTCTTCCAAATTTCCTGGCATACACAAGAGTGTTTCCAGCATTTCCTCAGCTTGTTGAAACATTTCAATTGATAGTCTAACAAATCCTGGAGCCTTGTTTTTGGCTAATGCTTTCACTGTAGCTTGAACTTTTTCCTTCAGTACAATTGGTACTTGTTCATATGCTACTTCTTGAAATGGCTGGATGTCAATGAGTCCTCTTTGGTTGTATTATTTCCATCTTCTTTTGAGGCTTCCTGTATCATTTACTATGTTGTCCATAGAATCTTTCAATATTGAAACGAGGCTTAAATTTTTCTTTAGTTCTTTCAGTTTAAGATTTGCTAAGCTTGTTCTTCCTTTTTGGTTTTCTACATCTAAATCTTTGCACATTTCATTATATTTTAATTTGTCTTCTCTAGCTTCCCTTGAAATTTTCTGTTCAGTTTTTTTACTTCATCCTTTCCCTCATTTGTCTTAGCTAAGCTCTGATTAAAAGCAAGTTTCTGAATCACTTCTGACATCCACTTTGATCATTTCTTGTTTTCCTGTCTTTTCTTCATGAATGATGCTCTTGATGTCCTCCCACAGCTCATCAGGTTTTCTTTCATTAGTGTTTAATGAATCAAATGTATTACTGAGATGTTCTTGAAGTGGGTGGAATGTATCCTTAAGTTCATATTTTGGTTAGGTAGGTCTAATCTGCATGTGGTAACTGTGGTTGCCATCTCTTATTGGGGCGTAGGTGTTGAATGATGACCAGAAAGTTTTTTCTGAAAAAAAAAAATGGTGTTAGGCTATATAGTCGAGAGAAACACAACCAGTGAAATTCATAACTTTATAAAAGAAAAAAATTTATAACAAGGAAGCCGCCCAGACTAATCCAACTGAAGTCCATGGGTAAAATGCTAATTGGATGCCCCAGAAGACTCATGCCCCTTCTGGTCAGTGAAGCAGGAAGACAAAGTGGGAAGCTAGGAGATCACAGCCAGTGGGTACAGTCTACAGCCACGGTCAGCAGAAACAGAGCAAGGCATCAACAGCTCCTGAGATCACCAGCCCAAGAAGTCAGACACAGAATTCAGGAAAAAGCAAAGGAGAAGAGAGAAGCCAGTCTATACAGTGTCTCTAATAAGTAGGGCCACACCCACAGGGAGAGATCATTAGGCTGTGTTCCAGTTGACAGATTGGACCCATCTCTACCATCACAGAGGGACAGGGAAAAAAAGCTCACTGCCATTAAGTCAATGTTGGCTCATAGTGACTTGATGTGGGTTTCTGAAACTGTAACTGTTTACAGGAGTAGAAAGATCAAGAAGCAGCTAGCTGGTGGTTTTGATCTACTGACCACATGGGTTGCAGCCTAATATGTAACCACTACACCACCAAGGCTCCTAGGTTTAGAAAGTTGACCCAAAACCTTATCAGCAAAAGTCCTAATGGAGCTTATTTGACATATTGAATTTAGATAATCATCAGTCTGGCAGCCACTTCAAGGTGTCACTACATGAACTGTTTCCTTCCATTTCCATGAGCTGCTTTAGACATACGTGTGTGTGTGTGTGTGTGTGTGTGTGTGTGTGTGTGTGTGTG